CTCCTTCTACACAATCAGATGCTAAATCCAGACAAGTACTGTTTCCATCTGTAACGATTAAATTTAGCAATCAGCAAAAGGCGCCCGGTATCAGCCAATCAGAAATATGTCCTCTTCTATCACGACAACACCAGATCTCATGTCTGTGTGCACATCTGGTAGAAATTAGAACAGATTAGCGAAGATGTCCTACTACAGCACTGTACTCATTTGAGCCTACACCTTCAAATTACGACATTCCGATACTAAAGATTATCTTAATGGGAAGGACTTCATTTCTATGGAAACATTTAAAATCAATGGGACTAGTTCTTCACCGAGAAATATGACGATTTCAGAGAGAAGGAAATTGATTGATTGATATTTTACACTTCATCAATCCGTTGTACCTCAACGTAGTAAGAGATAGGAAAATATTAAATACAAAATAAGGTTTACTGAACTGCTAGGTAATATCTAATTTTTTATATAGCAATGAATGCTGTACAGACTCTTCGAAAATCAAGGACTTAAAGCAGTAGCGTATGGTTCACGGGACAAGTTCTGAAATAATGACAGGTGAATGTGTGAGAAACTAAAAAGAAACTGCTACTAAGAAAGAAATAGCTTTAAATTCTGGGATGTGTATTGAGAAAAGGTCACTTGAAGCATTTAACACTTACAGGACATATTCAATGTTATACGGTTAGGGGAAAACAACGAGTAAACAACTTGATGAATGGAGTGAAATTATGGCAGAAAAGTGGGGAAAATATATATGCTAAAAGATCAAAAGTTACTTAGAACAACAAAAGACAGGAAGTTGTGGAGAGCCATAACCATCCACGTCCTTAAAGGATAAGGCATATAAAGGAAAGAGATCATGAATGTTTAGTTTCAAGCTTGGCGGACCCTTAATAATGACGCAGCGTAAACTCTTTCCTCCAGTATCCCTACTCATTTCCCTGCATTGCAACAAACTGATTAACACGAATATATTGGATTTCTATGGTGGCTATGATCAATTTAAATTTTCCTACTGGCCCCAAGAATAATGTTTCGAACCCAGGTAAAAAGCAAGGATTTCGAATGCTGATTTGTAAAACAGTTAGTCCCAGCTTATAAGATTGGCGTAACTTTTAATTGCCATCTCTTTCATTTAGCTTTGTGTCAAAGTTAAAATTAGTAAATGACTAACCTTATAATGCATATTTGCTGATAGTTTCAAAGAAACGCCAGTTTTCATTCCACCTCTTTCTTTCTTTTTTACTGATTTTCCTCTCTATAACCGTATTCCTATACCCTGTGTCACGCAGATAAGTGCCTTTATATTCAAGTCAAACTTTTTATCTAAAAAAAAGATTTTCCTGAGTTTCCACAGACGATTAATCTCATTATCAACAGCTAACGAGATCAGTAAGTTTATCTCTATCGTGATTGCTACACGAGGAACAGCTTTTTAAACTTGATACCGTTTTTATTGTACCGGTACCCAGGTCAACATACAACGATATGCTTTTTTTTTAGAAGCTTTTCGTGATTGCTTTCACTTACATATTAATCTCCCGCGAGGCCAACATACTGAACACAAAACTAGAATCAGTTTGTAATCTGAAAGAAATTTATCAGAATTGTGTCTTTTTCGCTGATCTCTCGTTTAAAAATTGATAAGTAAAACGCATATACGAGATGATAGCAAAAAAAGACACGAATTCGAGTGGGGCGCTGGAAACGGTCATTGCACATTGCGTCGCTAGGGATAATATTTTGAAACTATTCTGAGATAGTCTGTAATGTCGTTTGTTTCTGTATAGACTGAATTTCTGTTGCCTTTTCTAGTGTTTTTTTTATGCAATGTCCTATTTCTTAATTATCTGTGATTTGTCCTGACTTCTTGAGAAACATTGTAGAGTGGCTTCTCTATGCGTTCATTACGGTTTTAGATTCAGGGGATTCTTTTCGCGCTTCCGGTTGCCGCCCAAGACTAGAGAGCTCATTCTACCCTTCATTTTAGCGATTATGACTAGGAGTGATAAAAAAAAGAACACTGCATTTGATACATTTTGTAGGTGACGAGGGGCGGAGAATAACTGTCACTGAAAATGTTCGCATGCTTTGAGAAGTTTTTAAGGAAAAGTATACGTAAAACATGTTTGTTTGTTTTTTCCGGCCACTGGTCGCGTTTCAAATGTCGTAAAATATATCTCTTCAAGACCAATCATGATCTGGCCAATCTTCAAGCAGCCAGAATTACGAAAATATTCAAAAAGTTCATTACAGAATCAATGAAGCTCGTCGTTGAATCCCTGACGAGATATCAGAGGTGAGTGATTTGACTTGGAGATTTTGTCAACGAATGTTAATTGCGAACTTGAGAATGAAGTGATTTCACGAAAAACATCCTGTCTCATTCAAACACATAAGATCAAAAAAAAACAATCTACGCAAAAAAAAAACCAACATAATTACAGAAATAGTCCGAGCATTGAAACAAACAAAGAAACCTTGTGTTCTGTCTAGAGTTGAGTAATTTGAAGGAAGCTCAAATTTTAAGACCAAATAAAACATTTTAAAAGTTATACTTATTTTTGAGTTCGTTTGTTAAACGAGGAAACATAATTAACAGAAAAATTTTAAACTGAAAAGAGTTTCCGCAAAATCTGGCTCTTTTCTAGCTGAGGATAATAAAATAAACAATTGTTTGAAGTTGTACCACGTTCTCAGGGAACAATTTCGCAATGATTGACAATATCATTTTTTTAAGTCGTATCCAAAGATGAGACCGACAATTACCGTTATTTTGAGATAACGTGTTTTTAGGACAATACAAGGACTGGGTTAAATAGTTTTCTACTGTGATCCCCACTTTAGAAAGAAACAACTCATTTAAAAAGTATATTTAGCAGTACATGACCAACATGTTTTTAATATACGCGTACTTTTTATTCTATAGAATTTTACCGCGATGAATTGAATGGTTATGATGATAAACTACATACGCGTCCTGGGTAAGACGATAAAAAACGTCCGACAGCAAGGCCTCTGATCAGGAAGTTTTGAGGAGCTTGGAACCACCACTTAATTGCTAGTATTCCCAGATCCACCCTGACCCTGACCCTGGGGGAAAAACACTATGAAAGTGTAAAAATAGGTTTTAATACCAGAAATACTTTGGAAATATTATTACCAGCAATAGATTTTTGAAGAAAAAACATTATTGCCAGTAATACATTATTACCTGCAATAGATTTTTAAAAAAATATTACTAGCAATGCATTCTTGATAAAAAATATTACCAGCAATACATTTTTGAAAAAAAATTACCAGTAATACATTTTTTAAAAAATATTACCAGCAATACATTTTTGAAAAAATATTACCAGCAATACATTTTTTAAAAAAATCACCAGCAGTACATCTTTAAAAAAGTAAAATTTATTACCAGCTATACATGTTTTGAAAAAAAAATACCAGAAATAGATTTTTGAAGAAAAAATATTACTAGCAATGAAAATTTGGTCGGCATTAAATAACCCATTGAGGTTGATATGCTTTAAAACAAAACAGACTAAACCAAACCTTGAATGAATATTTTTTTTTTATTTTCTATAATACGAGTATAAAAAATGATACTGAGTTTTGCTCATTGAATTTATTTTTTGATTACTTTTTATCTAATTGATGTCAAAATATTTAATTGCACTTAATGAGGTATTTTCGAATTATTCTCATTTTAAAATTTACTAAAGTAAAAGTGCTACAAAAATAATTAACAAAACCTATTGAATTGGGATTGAAAATTGATTACCGTCACAGTAACTAAAAGGGAAAGATAATATAAAATTCTTTTAAAAAAAGTTCACACTCGAAAATACATTTTTCAATTCTTCACGTATGTCTTTTTTTAATAATAAAAAATCCCAGAATGAATTCCCAAATCGCACTGAAAATTTTCAAGTAAATGTTTTAGAAATAAGTATTGAATATAGATTTTCTTTCTTGTCAAATCCGAAAGACTTTCAACAAAATATAGTTTTTTAAGTTTATTGAATTATTTTTGCTAAAGTTCGGGGCGAATTTTCATTATGTTCACAGTTGATATTGTATAATCTTTTTTATGGAAAAGGGATTTGTTTTTACATAACTATAAAAAGGATTTATCGAACACTCCTCCAGTTTAAAATGTTTACAAGAGATACTGAAAAGGTGGGAGTGAAATTAACACCAAAAACAATATTTTCACAATGTTTTGTAAAATAATGATATATTCAATATAAAATTAATTTATTAAAAGAATACGTACTGAAAATTTAATTTAAATCAAATAAATTTATGAATTTGTGGTGAAATTTTTAAAAATGGGAGTAATTCTTTGGATTTTTTTTTACTTTCATTATTGAAAATGCCTGCATTTTGGTGATACGTAAGTGTAAGAATTTCAAGTAAATTTAGTATAATGGCAAAAGGAACTCTAGATAATAGAAGAATTGCTGAAAATGTTTATACTTTTTCATTAATCAATTCACCCCAAGCAAGGCGATAATGCCACAGAGATACAAGGGGCTATTGGGTATGAAAAAGAATGAAAAGTCTTTAAAAGGAATCGGAAACCCAATCTTACTCGGGAAACCAGGAATAAGCCCCTATTTCTGTTCAAAAGACCAAGACATTTTATAGAAATGAGACAACTTCGATTACAACATACTTTTCTCTATGCGCAGGTTAGGTATTCGTTTAGAGCAAATTAAAAATTGAGGTATTAGTTTAATGAATTATATATGTGTTAAGAAGATTGTTTTGCGTCAACTTTTCAGGTAGGGAGGGTTTCCATTATAAAAAAATCAATCCAACGAAAGTGTTTTTGTTTTTTGTTTTTTTTCTTTTTGTACCAACTTGCAGCAACGGTGAAAAACAACTGGGTTTGAAAATTTGACTTCAGGAAAAAGTTGACTATTTTTAACTTGGCTCTCCGATTAACAATTCCAAGCCCTTGTCCAATACACCACCCGCATATCCAAATTTACAGCACCTGGTATTCCCAAGCGGTCACCCATCTAAGTACAAACCCAGCTCGACTTTATTTAACTTCGGTGATCGTTCGATAATCTATACAGGTAACAGCTTTTGTTGCTAGTTTCTGGGCTTGGCGAAGGGTTCATTCATTCAGCTGCGGTCAAAGAACGTCACATACTAGTGATGAGCCGTTATGTGAAGATCATCTCGGCAGAGTGCAAGGAAGAAATGGATTCATGCCTTTCCCAAGAGTATGATGAGTAAGAGGAACTGAAACATACACTGTTGGAATTTCGTATTCGGTGCTGGTAAGCGTTTCGCCACGCCCCGTACAATTCTGTATTTGTTCATTTTACGTAAAAATACCTCATGCCAAATCCTTTATCTTTCTTCGATACTCACTCACACACTTCAGAAATGAAAAAGAAAGCATATAAAAAGTAAAGTTAAATGACTGACGGACACAGTTTGTGTTTGTTAGAACGTCGTGGTTTTACTAGTGAGTGCACAGGTGTACTCGAGCGTAAAATTAATTTATCAAGCGTAAAAATTCATGCCCGATATCGATGAAACGTCGTCATAGCAACTGACTTAAATGAGCTGGCCCTTGCACTATAACAAAACGATTTATGTAGGGTTGAGCTATTTGTGAAAATATGCGGAAGCTAAAATTGAAGTTACTAATTTCACTGCCACAGCTGACATCTTCGACTTTATTATTTGACTTTATGTATTATAACTCGAGTCGTAGCCAGACGATATTTTGCCGGGAATCAAATGACAGCAAGTTCCCGCAGCTTACTTAGATTTCTGCAGATGTGGATGTTCCTTTAGAGAGCACCGGTGACTTCAGCCCTTATCGAGACTTGACCCTTTGAGTCCTACGTTCCTGAACAATTTTAGCCCTTCTGCCTGAGCTACTGAGTCAAAATTCACAAATAATTGGTATGTAATTTTTCAAGATATATATAATAAATAGTTACAAGTGTTTACCCACCATTCAACTGATGGCTGGGCATTAAGGTATTTTTCTCTGTCACTGTTCAATCGGTGGCTGAGCATTACGTCATTTTTCTCTACTGCTGTTCAACTGGCGTCTGGTCATTACGTCATTTTTCTCTACTGCTGTTCAACTGGCGTCTGGTCATTACGTCATTTTTCTCTAATGCTGATCAACTGGTGGCTGGTCATTACGTCATTTTTCTCGACTGCTGTTCAACTGGTGGTTGGGCATTGCGTCATTTTTCTCTACTGCTGTTCAACTGGTGGCTGGGCATTACGCCATTTTTCTCTACTGCTGTTCAACTGCTGGCTAGCCATTGCGTCATTTTTCTCTACCACCGGTAAAGCAGTGGTCAGGTCTGAAAGTGTTAAACTCAACCCAGACCTCAAGTGAAGCTTGTACATACGATCCATCGCTAAAGATGTCGGGAAAATATTCGGTACTCTGTAAGGCTCCAGGGAGTATCTGACTCCTTGTGATATCCTCTACCTTCACAAGAGCCAGATCAGACATAAAATGAAGTACTGCTACTATACATGGACAGGAGCTGCCTAGACTTCAGTTTCCTGTCTCGATAGGGTCTAAAAGCGTCTCTGCGTCTTTGTGGGTGACAAATTATTATCCACCCTGCAACCTTTTCCCAACGACGAAACTTTCGCCGGTCGCTCATTGCTTTATAGCTACCTCCATGGAAAGTGCTCAGTCGAACTATATTCCTTAGTTCCACCAGTTCTAACCTTCAAAGCTAAGACCCATCATGTTGACCGGCACATTGTAAGACATTTTGTATTACATCGGGGAGAAGTAAGTTCAACTCGAGCTACTATTTTCCACGAATCGCTGCTCTGAGGAACCGACTCCAAAGAGGATGTTTTCTCGATCACGACAAACTTAATTTGTTCAAGTCTAGTTAACCGTTATCTTCCCCGCATATCTGCATAAACTGTGGTTCTTATTGTATTACCCTCTAACTAGAGTGGCTCTCGTGCGTTGTACATGAACATTACTGTAAAAAAAAAAGACTGAACAATGTCGTCATCTGAATAAATTCAAATAAAGAGCTCAGTCTCTCCTTGCTTTTCCCTAAAAGATGCATAATTTTCTCATGGTTATTTGCGCGAAAGTGAATGCAACAATCACGTTCGGATTTTGAACTCAGCATGCTGCTTATATATTCCGAGCCGATACTCAGTTAGCTTTGCGCTAAAAATACAAGAAAAATCTTAATAGACAAATTTAAACTAGCACTAAACAAAGTATAACCCTACACACATAAACACACACCATACACACATAGTAGCAAAACACTACTAGTCGAGCCACACACACACACACAAACACACCATACCAGATACATGCAGTTACTGTATAGATTTCTTTATAATAAAATAATAGTACATATGTATAGAGAACGAATATATACACATACACTGCCCAAAACAAACACACTAGACGGGCCACAAGGTCTCTCACACACACACACACACACACACACACGAACCCTACACGCCATACAAAGTTTATATATATATATATATATATATATATATATATATATAGGATATAGATATACACATACTAACAATACACAAGCAATATACAAAAATAAAAAAAGATACAGAGGTCATAAAATATGGAAAATAAAGTATAACATATTTTAAAATCCACATTATAACCAAACACGTTTTTGGCTTCTCTTTTTCTTTTATATATATATATATATATATATATATATATATATATATATATATATATATATATATATATATATCAAAATGTATCAAGACTGTTGCTATGGAGCTAACGTACGTAGAGTAAAGCCACTTAGCACAGATAGACGTTGAACTCTCTCGCGCATGCACTCTAAGTTATAACTGTCTTGCTAGCTTCGTTTGTTCGTAACAATGCTTGGAAGGAAAGTGCATAGAGAGTGGTTGACACACCTCACTACAGACGTTCCATGTTAGGAGTGTGTGGTAAGGCAAAAACAATGTGTAACATTACCAGTTGCACCCTTGATGATAATAGAGATTGAAAGTACTTGAGAAATAAAAGTGAGTCTCACTGTTACAGTGCATTTCTTGCTTTATTTAATTGCAATATACGGGAAAATATTCCTGAATATGAAAGGATTATGTTAAAATAAGCAGACATAATATAAAATTTATTCAGACATGCCTAAAAGAGAATTTGCTTCCTAAATACAGAAATATATGTTCAATAACAGGTAATTCTCAAATAATCTATAATTTTAAAATAAGTAAAAACTAAGTTGACTTATCGAACATATGTCAATGTTAATCTAACAGGAAGATAGACCAAGTGTGCCAATTATAATGACAATGTGCTATTGAAATGGCCATCATGTACACCTGACTTGACACTTGTGATTTTTTCTATGGTGCTATGAGAAAGGACAGATCTATATATCCTCCCTTCCTACAATCCTAGAGGAACTGAAATAGAGAATCACTGAGGTGCTGGAGAATGTTACGCAAGACATGCTACAGCGTGTGTGGCAGTAGCTGGACTGCCAATTTGACGTGTTTCTTGTTACAGGTGGTGAGCACATGATATATTTGTGAAGCTTTGTCCAATTGGTTATAAAATCTACATCCCTTTGAAAATCTTATTAGAATTTTGATAAATACATATTTTATTGTTGAATATGAAGTCATTTTAATTTCGTTTGCCTGCGACATTTAGTTACTCGGATATTGACATTTTAATTTATGTCAATTTTTTGACAATGGCAAAAATATAACAGAGAGCACTCGGACATACAAAACATTCGGGCAATTTCTGCCTAATTTATTTCCAAAAAAGAAAATTATAAGACTACAAGAAAAATTAAATAAAGAAAAAACGTAACTGCAGTATCTTGTCAGTCTTTTGCAACGAAACTTGTACTGACTAACACATACACACACACACATCTATATATATGTATATATATATATATAGGAATGGGCATGATAAAATATGTACATACACGCACAAATACTTATACGTACGTAAGTATATTTCTTCCTCAGGTGTTACAATTACAGTGCTCAATGTTATGAAACAGAGCTATAAGTATATATTACTGAATATACATAATATCTGACGCCGATAGATATATATATATGCATTATATGGAGATATGGATCATATATATATATATATATATATATATATATATATATATATATATGATAAAAATTTAGTTTTGGTGCCCACTGTGTTCGAGATACTGACTAAAATGGTTAGGTGTGTTAACGGTCTTCAGGGCCAAGGTAAGTAAAATTACATTGTTCACAGAGTATACACGTTTGTAGACGCTTATTAAATGTTTTAAAGAAATTTCCAAATTTTCTATGCAGACCTCATTTAAGCCCGTGAAAACAATACGAGAATTGAAAGACTAATTGTTCGACATATATATAGCTACCTCCACTAATTCACTGAAAAGGGGGCATAGCATGATGAAAAACTGTCCCAACCTTGATAAAAAGAAAGTTTTATCGTCAAAATGTTTATATTATTATTAAGCAGAAGGACCAATATATTGCTTTTTTTTTTTATATTTTTTAATCCTTTCTAGCCGGTTCGAAATTTCGGTTAAAGATTTCGGTTTTTTCTACGTCAACGGGGGCAGTGGTCTACAAAGTTTAGTATAGAAAATTTTAGCTTCATTTTGATGGTAAAAACACATTGTTTTGGAAATTCTTGCGAAAATCAAATAATTGTCGTATTTTAATGAAAGTTTTAGAATTTAATAACAAATGAATGAAATTATAAATGAATTTTTTTACAAAATCTAGGAAAAAAAATTTACATCTGTTTCTACACCACACACACTTAATTTATTTTCTGAAATTTCGAGAAATTAAAATTTCCACCCCTTACTAGTTATTAGTAAAACGCAAGGTTCCTTGGATAATTTAAATCATCCATTTCTTTTGGAAAACAGAAATACCATTTGCCAAAAATCTGCTTTCCTTCGTTTTGTGATGTCAACGAACACTCGTCACTTTCGTAATGCTCGTTGTAGTAGAAACTTTGTAATCGCAGATACAACTTATAGTACGCCGTTGAA